TCGCAGCTCAAGTCAAGATCCCCGACTTGACTGATGTGAATTCCATAGACAAGTGGTCCCGAATGTTTTTCCCCATCACCTTTTCTCTTTTTAACGTCGTCTATTGGCTTTACTATGTACACTAAGGTCTGCCCCAAGGGTTGGTAAACAACTTCTGTCCTCTTCTCTTGGTTTTTAACCCACAGGTCCCCAGCAGCGATACTGCTGTGATTTTTTGAGGTAAGAGATTCAGCCATCCAATTGGTTTTAGGTCTTGCATATCAATTTTATTACTGCACCATGTTTACTTCAAAAAAAAAAAGCTCTATTTTTTTTCAGTCTACTGTGGTCCAGGTTATTGGCTCTTTCAGAGCTCTGTGAATTGCCATGTTTACAAACCCACACACGCAAAGAGAGAAATTAGATAGGTAGATCTTTAGCAGTCCTGATTGTCCTGGATTTTATTATTTTTTAAACGAAAATGGACCTAGCTCTCTGTGTGCACTGCTTCCTGGTAAACTGTAACAATCTCATGCTGCCAAAAAACAACACAATTTCCAGGATCTCAGAAGAAAAAACAAAGCCATTGATAAGTTACAGATTTCCAGGAAGAAGGGAAAACAAAAAGGAGCCTAGAAGAGGAAGACAGACTCCCCTCCACCCTCAAGTTGCCCCAGGTCCATCATAGAAGGGGGTCCCAGCTCCGCGGAGAAAGAGAGGGAGGCTGGCGTGTGCTGATCCAGGTTATGCAAATACAATCTGCCATCTTCACCGGCCCCTAGCCCCCCACCCCATGAACCTGGATATTTTGAAAAACGCTTCTTACTCAGACTTCCAGGCAGATTTAATATCAACGTTAGAATCCAATCTAGTAGCCATTGGGAACATTTTACTTTCCTTACTGAGAATAGAGTATTTGGGGGACAATGAACTTTTTTTTTTTTTTTGCAACGGACTATTTCAAATGAGCAGCCCTTATTCATGTCCTTAGCCTGGACTCACTTGACTCTGTGCCATGAAGCCATGGCATCATGTTGCCTGAGTTCACCCTTCCGAGAGATGGAGAGAAAGGGGGCTGGGGGAGGTGTGCTTTGCACAAGCAGGAGGTAAGAAATTTTTGCTTGAGAAAAATATTGCCCTTTCCATGAAGAAGGCAAGATTTATGTACTGTTGAAAGGGTGCCTGGGCAGTGACCCGAACTGCCAAATCTTCAATCAAATAGTATATATTTCTTAGCCTTCCAGAGAGCAGTTATCTAAGGGGGATGGGCTAGTTGCACAGCGCTAGTTCCTGGGCTAGCACTTCCCGCCTCTGCTCTCTGAGCTCTGCGTTCCAAAATGCGAAATGAACACTTCGGGAGATGCACCTATACCCATTTGATGTCATTCTCCATTGAGGCCAAATTTTGAGAGAAAATCTTCAAAGGAGCAAAACCAGAGATAACAACATCACCGAGTCTTCATTTACAGCAGCCCCTAAATTGTAGAGTCTTGTCTGCAGTCAGTACTGCCTCTGCCTTATCTCTGCTGATGGATTACTTTGGTCATCCTAGAAGGAGCATCCCTCAGTAGCTCAACACACGACTCTACACATATCCAACCAACTACAGTTGAGACTCATCTCATCTTTTTTTCATTGAAGCCTCATTACTACTTTTTTTGTTCAGCCTGCCTGTATAAGAATTCTATACATTCATTTGCAAGGTTGAGTGAAATCCGAAGCTGACCAACCAGTCATGAAGGCAATTTGGAACCCGATCTATGGATGTGATGTAAGAACTCAGTTCGTAATAGGGATGACTGCCTCATTTGATGATCTGGATTTCTCCCTAAGGCTGTGATGAGGGTCTGTGTTCACAATGGCATCAGCTGCTAGAAATGATCCTCTTAATTGAAAAGAGAGGGTTGATTTCCTACTGATAAACCCAAGGAGAGAGAGTTACAAGATATTATTTTAGAAAGCAAGAGGAAAAGAGAACCCCAAAAGAAACAAATGGTTATGCAATAGATAATATATGTTAGTAAGAATATAAAAACTCTGCTTTACCTGGAAAAATCATCTCATTAGTTTCATGAGAAATTAGTTAAGTATGGGGACCAAATTTTCCTTTAGGTTTTCAGTTGTATAATCATAGTTCCCTTCAAGGAACTCTCCAGTCTCTAGGGGTGGAGTGATCCACTGTGAAATTCTGATTCGTTAGTTCCTTGGCAGGGTGAGATGCTTTTCCATTGTAAAATGCCCAGAGAGAGTGGAATGTGGCCATACCAGTGACCTTCAGGTTAATATTCCCAATGCCCACCCAGGAATCACTGTGTAGCCATTTATTTTAAACGCTGGAAAGGCGATTTTGGGCAGATACCTAGGAGGAATCATTTTGACATCCAAGCTCTTTAAAAAGTTTCTAAGGATGAAGTGCTAAATCAGAAATGAAGTATCTGTAATCTATGTTCCCGAGCAAAACAATTTTTCTTTATTTACCTGTTTAGATCATTCTTGGAAAATACTGAGTAATTTATACCTTTATTATTATCTGGCCTTAAAAGTCTGAAGAATTTGATGCTTGTGGTTTTGGATGTAAAGCATCACTGAAGAAAAAAAAATACTTTGAACTCTTATATCAACCTTCATAAACTGTAAAACTAGTAAACCTGGCACGAAATGGTGTTGCTGTGAGCCCTCCGGGATATAGATGGTCACAACCAGCATTACACAAATCCAATTAAACAGCTCTGATTTTAGAGGCAAGAGCAGCCAGAAAAATGGAAAGGTTGACATATTTCTAGTTAATGACCTTTGTCCCCACTTCCTTCTTCTGACACCTCCTAGCCAAATCCTCCTCTCCTTGGCCCCTACCCACTCTCCTTCCAGGCTGAACAGCACATAGAAAAAAATCCTTCCTTCTCTGCCTCTCTATCTTGTCTTGCCCAAAACGACATACATAAAACATAAACGTCATTAGGCATCCTTCAGGGCCCTCAAACTGCTCCCCACTCCTGAAAGATTCAGATCATTACATTATAGAGGAGTTACTACTGAACTATCATTGAGTTTTTTGTTTTGTTTTGCTTTGTTTTGTTTTAGCCATGAAAATAGCCATAATCTCCTGCATTTGAAGGGGCAGCAGACACTGAAAACTGCAGGGACATATTCTCTTATGCCACACTCACGTCCAAGCGACCCCGTGTTCACAGTTTGGAAACTGTGATGTAAACTGTGTGGTAGACTTACCCTGTGTAGACCCAGCAGAAATCCCATCGTTCATTTGACAGTGATGACCACACATGCACTCCTGCCACTCATGCTCCTTGACTTAAAGCATCAGGCGCGACACTTGCATTATTACACTTAGCAGCTTTGTGAGGCAAAGACCCAGGGAAAGACATATTTGGGGCTTGAATCCTCCAGGATTGTTGCCTCCAACCTCTCCATTGCCAAATAGAAACAGCAGACTGGTGGCTGATTCTGCTGATTCAATGATATGCGTTTGCATATATACCATGTTTATTGTGCATTTCAACAAATGAAGGACCTTGAAAATGCAAAGAGAAAATGTGGTGCAGAGAATAAAGTTTGGTTTATGGATCCAAAGATAGGCTTTCCTTTAACAAGCATTATGTACAATACACAGAAATGTTGACAAAACCCCATCTTTCTAAAATCAATGACTCCTTTATAAATACTCATTAGAAAGAGCTCAATCACAATTTGCCAAGTTAAATAAACAAAAAATACATATTTCTGATGCTAGAAGGAAAAAAACTCCAAAATTTATTCTGTGGACAATTTTGAATAGTATTTTACAAAGGGTGATATCCCACAGTTTTTTTCCCTCAGCAAAATGTAATCATATATTTATCCCAGGAGGGAGGGTAGAGTAATGTGCAAGTATTTGTTCCCGTTGGTTCAATCGGCAGTTACTGGGATGAGGAATACAGAGAAACAAACAAAAACATCTGTTGCTTGAAAGCAAATAGTCAACACGGAGGTAAAGTTGCTAATGGAATGTAGAATATTATGTAAACTTCCTTGTAAATTCTGTACATAGCTCATTGAACTGTTCCCTGTTGCGTGGTGGTCCTCAGCTTTGGGAGGATGTTTGAAAAAATCTGAGCATTGTAAATACTATAAGCTTACAAGGCACTTGCTTTTATTCATGAAGTGAACTGACCAGTGATTTGGGCCCAAACCAGAATCATTTTTAGCTCTTGCTCTTTCTCTGCCATTTTCTGTGTGCAGTCGTGTAATTCTGCCAGATGTCTGTGATCACTGCCTCATGCCCCAACCCCACTGAAAGGGAACGGAGCTGCCAAGAAGGCTGCACACCTGTGGCGCTCGGGAACAGCACACCAGCGGAGACAGGAATCCCGTAGTGAGCTGCTCCTGGAACAGTGCCGTGAAAAGTAGACGTGTTCTTATCAGCCATTCATGCCTATTCATATACTCAGATACCGAATTATCCATGCTGTTGAAGGGGTCAGGAATGGAAGTGATGGTCAAAAGCCACAGGTAATCCAAAGCTTTATTTGCACCAATAGCTTTAGCTTCTATCTTCTTTCTTTCTACAAGGTTTCCCAAAAGTGTTGATAGGAACAGAAATGGACAGATGGGTTTGACCAGGGTAAACAGTCAAATGTGCAAATGATGGGAAGGAGAAAAGAAAGAGATAGCAAATGACATCAGTAACACCAACTGGGTGATTCATGCCTGAAAGATCCAGAAGTAACCATGTCACTGTTTTTGAAAGGGAAAAAGAAATATTGGTATAAACGGACTGGGTATTAAAACAAGTGCTTTTCAACCGGGGGCCCAGGATATGTTTCATATGTGCTAGTTATACTTAAAAGAGAATCTGGCCATTAAATGTTCTCAAATATATTTCTCCCAAGTCCTGGTATTCTTGAAAGAGTCTTCAGAATGGTGGCATCTTATGCCATAAGATGTGTTTCCATGCAAACTGGCAGTCCCAGAGAAGGCGATGGTGTCTCCAGAAATTCTGATATCCAAGCAAGCAGGGACATAGATTGGTTTCTTGGCAATATTTGAGAGTGAACCATGTCTTTCCTGGAGATAAGAACTTAGTAAGGCAGGGCTTTTGTTGCCAGCATTTTAAGTGCCAGAGAGTGCAGGGAGCCATCATTGTGAGACATTTGGGTTCCAAAATGTGCCAACTAGGGCCCACCACCAATTGAATAAGAAAAAAAAATGCCCTATTGGAACTAATCAGGTCAGTTTCTAGGTCCAGGACACATTGTGCTTTTACTTAAATTCTGCTTTTTCTACGTAACTGAAATCAACTAAACTGACAGAAAACTTAATCGTCAGAGGCTGCCATTTCACAAGCAAACATTTGAAAGGAAATCCTTTTCAATAGAAGAATTGCAAACCAGAAAATACTAAGTTCCTGGGAGGAGACGTGTAAAGAGCTTTGAGTTTGCTTTTACTTCTCCAAAGCAAGAATTTCCTTATTCAAACCGCAGAGGTCTAACCGTTGTGGGTTTTGTTTGGTTTTTCTTAATTTAAAAAGTTCTCGGTCCATCAAGGGACCGGAAACCATTCCTGATGGGCCGGTAGGTACTTTGCACGTCCTGAAGCAACCAGCACTCATCACCAAGGCTTCAGTAGGAATTCAGTGGAGGAAAAGGAGGTATCTTTCTGAACCAGTTAGGAAAGAAAACCATTCTCATGAACAGCTCTACCTATATTTTCTGTCCTGAAGACAGTGGGAAAATAAATCCATAAAAGAAAAGCCAAATAATATTATGCATCTGCCTTAGGCACACAGGGTCACAGATTCACTAGCTTAGAACAGCCCCATCTGGAAGCCAAAAGACGAAAAAGAGCAATCAGTGTTGATGTCTGGCCCCTATTTCTCCCTGGGTTTCCTTTGCAAGAGAAACAGGAAGGGGGAACATTTTCCAATGTAATTTTTTTACAGGTGAAAATTATTAAAATATGGTATGTTTGTGCATTTTGCAAGCTTGGCAATAGATTACCTCTCTTGTGTTCTCTCCTTCCCAGCACCACATACTGTCCTGCCTCATGCCTTAACCCAACGAAATCAATTCATTTATTTTTCCTCTTTCTCATTTCTAAATCTCGTAAGTGGTCTTGCCCATGTATAGCTGAAAGCTTAAGCTTCTTTGGACTCATACTGTGTATCTTCAATTGAATCCACAAAAACAATAAATTCTACTAATTTCCCCAAAGTCCTACTCTTTTGCCTCTAAAAGACCTTTAGAGATAGCTTGTGTAATCACAGTAGCCTCCTCTGAACTGCTTTGGGTTTATTTTTCTTTTCTACTTTTCTGTCCCTTATATAAAGAGTATATATGTTTATCTAAACCTTCTCTCTCCCCGCCTAATTCAAAATGAAGTGGAAATAAAAAGCATTACCTCAAATCTAGGAAAATTACACTATCCACACCAAAGTTTGATGATAAGACCATCTCCTGACATTATAACTGTTACGTGGTGAACTCACACTGTATTGATTCTTTTTCATCAAACTCATTCATTCATATGTTTCTTCCGTCTTAACTGGACACCATTTAAAAACCTATTATTATTCCTCCCAGAATGGCTTATCATTGACATGGCACACCACTAGTTACAGACTCTCATTTAGGAACTTGACCCACTTCATCCTCTCTGGCTCTTACTCCTATTACAAATTTCCACTTCCATGTATTACTCTACCTATCCCTGCTCAACCTTCTAGTAGACATTAAACATAGTTAATAATTGGACAGGTCACAAGGCAAACTGTCCAAATTGCCCCTATAACATGTATAACATATAGAAAATCTTCTTCCTCCAAACAGCATTTCCATATATAGAGAAAAGAAAGTTCTCTAAATATATTCCAAGCAGTGGGCAGCCTAAACGTACACAGTTAACTATAAATGAGCTGCATGGTGGGAAGAAGGAAATTATAGTGGACAGAAGACACCTTGGAATTAGGCTCTCATGACCTGGCCTTTATGCTGTCACTGCCACTGCGCAGTTGTGTGACTTTGGACATAGCACCAGATGACCTCCAAGTTCCCTTCCAGAACGGAATTTCAAAGGGCATTTTAGAGATGTCCATTTGTATAGGAGGTTACCAGAAAGATACAGGAGTCCTGTGGTCTCTGTTAACATGGCCCCACAAATTTAGTAATATTCATTGTTGCATGACTTTGGGAGTAAGCCAACCGGTGTAAAGTGAACTGAATTCAAAACTTCTTTATATCCCTTTAAAAATATACATATAGAATGCACAATTAGATTTTCAGACAAGTAGCAAAGATTTATTTTATGATTATAGTAATGGTCTACATTGCAATATTTCCCTTTAAGAGCACTGGAGAGTCTCAGATAACATAAATCAGCATGGGCTCTAGTTTTATCTCTGGAAGATGTGGATGGCTTAGACCACCCTCTCTGACTCAGTCAGGAACGGCCATGAAATGCTCCCCCTGAGTAGAAAAGCCAACTTTTAGCAGCCTCCCAGCAGAAATGCTGTTGCAGTGCCCTTCAATGTTCCTTCCCATCCTAGACGCCATCACTGTCCTGTGTCTGGGAAGGGCAAGAGCAGACAGAGTTGAGCTCTCAGGCAAGAAGCAGCCTCCCATCTAGCTGGGAAAGATTCCAGGCCTTTAGAACCTCTGTTATCCACTCTCCTTGCCCCACTTCTCCCACCTCCCCCCATCCCTACTCAACTAGTTAAATCTGCCAAATGTTTTAGGCACAGCCATGATAAAACTGGAAGTTTACTTATTAAATGGCTGCCCAATGCCTGGGGGTAAAAAGAGAGGTGGAGAATGGTTTTTTGGTAGATATCCAACGATGACTGTCACACTTTGGTTTCAGGCATTGGAAAACACTTTCCTACACGATTTCATGATTTGACCTTCACCACAATGCTGTGAAGTTATGATGACAATACCACTATCTGGAAATAGAGGCTCCAATAAGTTAAATGATTTACCCAAGATCTGATAACTGGTTATTATGGTGTTAGTATTCGGTCCCACTTTTCCTTGGCTCCAAAGGCAAAGCTTTTTCCTTCCATGACACTTCCTGGATTTAATCTTTTTACCTTGATGATTCAGGTTTTGAGTAGTCCAAAGATGCATGTAGAGTAGCAGGCAAGAGAGTAATTTCCTCTCTAGACAGCTAGATACTACGGCCAGTGAACATTCTTAGTCTTGGCTTTTTTTTTTTTTTTTAACTTTTCTGCCATCCTTCACTCATCCCCCACACAAAAGTCTTTCATTATTCTCTTGAGGGAAGTGTAGAAGGAATAGCCTTTGCAACAACTAAATAAACTGAAGCATGCCCCAGTTCTTTTTAGAAAACATTATTGTTAGGGGCTTATGTGGCCCAGTTTACCTGAGATAGTGCCAGGGTGTAATTATCACTAGAGCCACCTTTCACTCTCAAAATTGTTCATTTAAATAATAAACTATATAGTCATACTTATTATGGGACCTCATAATTCCCAAACCAAGAGGCTATGGGAAATATTAATAAGTTAATATTAACACTTTGGAGAACATGTCTTGGCTCACTGTGAATCATTTATTCATGATTGACCTCAGTCTTCTCCATCATTCATACTCACTTTATTTCTCATTATTCCTTTTACTCAGCTTCAAGCAAGCTCACCTTCAAGCTTTCCCTACCCTCCCACATCCACAACCACCTGTCAGCCCCAAGTTCTCATTGCTATGCTTGAAGTTTTACATTTTATCCCACTGCCCAGATCTTCCTCCTCCTAGACCCTCCCACATGCTGGAGTATGAATCAGGCCAACATTGTCCAAAAAGCCATTGCGAGCAACCTGCTGTCATTCTGTTCACTCACCTTCTCCCCAACACCCTTAACTAACTCTCGTGGCCATTTTGTCCAATAATATTATTTCATTTGTGTTGTTTGCTAGTAATTTTGCAAATAGATGTTCTGCCTTCCTAAATAAAGTGTTAGGTCCTTAAAGGTAAATGCCCCATTTTCTGATTCTTTTGTATTGCCCCAAACATCTATTATACTGTCCATGGTAGAGAGTCTGCTCATGCTGATTAAATAGCTGATGCTGGTAAACGTAGCCATGGAGAAACACATTTCCATAACGGACGTAACTTCAGGTTCATAGACATTACCTGGTGAGGCAGGTGTCCCCCACACCCTCCCCCAAGTTATTTTAGTCCCAGAGAGCCTATGTCTACAACCTCAAAATGGATAAAATATGCAAAGTCACAGTTGAACCCAGGTTAGGGTCTGTGCCAACTGGTCATTGAGATTTTTTTCCATTGCTTATGACTAAACAAACTGAATCCTAAAACCATCATTCTAGATTCTGCCAGTCTAGCAGAGTTGGACTTTCCATGTTAATTACTACTGCTTATGGAAAAAGGAAACTTCTTATTTAAAGTTTCATTTTTTCCCTCATTTACCCAAGTTTGCCTTATTAAAAGCTTTTGAATTTAGGTTCTACGGGGTGTTAACTCTTGAAGCTGGGACTACACTTCATAACTGGAACACTCCAAAGTGAATTCTAAGAGAATCCTCCCAGAGAGTATTGCACACCAAATTTCACATATCCCAAGAATTAAATAGAATATTTAGAACTATCTAAGGAGGATGGACAGTTCTTGACATCGGCCACCGTCC